TGAAAGCATTTGACAACATGGCTGAAAACATCATGCTAAAAAGCAGGGGAGCAAGCACAGAGTTTTGTTTCACCCCATTGGTGACTGGGAAAGCATGAGAACATCATCCATTATCCAGAACTCAGGCAATCAGGCTGTTGTGAAATTGACTTACAATGCTGATGAACTTCTCTAGGCAACCAAATTTTGACATAATTTTCCACAAACCCTCATGACTGACAGTATCAAAGATCTGCAAATGTTTTGTACAGACCTCTGTTCTGCTTCTGGCATTTCTTCTGGCATTATCAGGCAGCAAACACCCTATCAACTGTTTCTCGGCCTTTTCTGAAGTCACAATGGCTCTCAGGTAGATGACCATCTTCCAGGTGAAGGGTCAGCCTATTAAGGAGGACTCTGGCAAGAATTTTGCCAGCAATAACTAAGAGAGAGACCCCACTGTGATTGTTATAGGACAATCTATTTGCTTTACCTTTATAGAGATGGACAATGGAGGCATTCTTGAACTCCTGAGGGATAATCTCCTCTTGCCATATAACCTGGAAAATTTCAGTCAGCTTTTGTATGAGCAATGGACCCCCCACATTGTAAACCTCAGCTGGAATAGAATCAGCACCAGGTGCTTTGCCACACAAAAGGAGACTAATGGTATTCAAAACCTCTTTTTCAGTTGGACCTTCAGCTAGGAAGGACTTCAACCTGAGGAAAATGGTCAATGGTTTCAGTGTTGATTGATGATAGTCTATTGAGAACACTTCGGAAGTGTTCAGATCATCTCTCTAGGATCGTGTCCTTATCACTAATCAATGTGGCTCCATCAGCACTGAGTAGTTGAGATTCACCATAGGTCTTTGGCCCATAAATAGCATTCAAGGCATCATAAAAGTGCTTTGGATTGTTGCTATCAACATAAAACTAAATTTCATCTGACTTCTTATTGAGCCAAGAATTCTGCATATTTTAAAGCTTCACTCGGACTTTACTTTTGATGGAATTACATACTGCCTTCCTAGAGATGAATGAACTATCCTGCTGGTAAACCCTGTAGAGTTCTCATTTTTCATTTAGCAGTTTCTGCATTTCCCCATCATTTTTGTCAAACCAGTCTTGATGTTTGCAAGTGTTCTGACCTAGAGGAGCAAACGCAGTGCTATACAGCAAATCTCTGAAAGCTGCCCACTTCTTTTCTGCTCCACTGTTGCCAATTGTGTGCAGGGCTGTGACTACAGCTCCCAGTGTATCTGCACTTGCTGCTTCATCACTTGTCCATCACCACAGAACTTTGAAATAGGTAAAAATGGTAAAATGGGTATGGGTATGATTTGTGCATAAATTGAACTTAAGTGAAGCAGAGTTGCATGAAGTCATTGGCCTCTGTCCTCCAGAGTCATCACAGTCCAGCGGCAGGATAGAGTCAAGATGACTGGTGATAGCTCAAGATGCAGTGGATGACCTCGGCATCTTCAATGTCTAACTAAGCTCTAAGTACTTCATAGCCCCTGCTTCAACTGCCTTCATGGCCATTGGAACAAATTGTTCTCATCTGCCCATTCCATGAGGGGAAGTCTTCACATGCTTGGGGGAGACAGCCCCCCTAACTCAGTGATGGGTTTGAGACCCCTCAGTTACCCTCAACTTGGTTTAGCCTGTCTGCTGAAACAGTTTGCCAGGGTGTGGCCACTGCATATGCCACGGCTTCTTGGAGCCACAGGTGAGAGTTAGGTGAAGAGGTGGACACCAAAGGTAAAAAGCAGCACTTATACCAGAGGTCCTAATCTACCCTGAACACACCCTACACCCCACTTAGAGAAGCAGGGAAGTTTTGGATATGGGGTAGGTGTGTTTTTTGGGGGAAGATAATGATCTCTGTTTCAGATGTCTTGTTTGAGATATCTATGAGGGGCATCCAGTTGGAAATGTCCAATGATGGTCAATGTGGGACTGGAGCTTAGGAAAGAAACTAGGGCTGGGTATATAATAGATCTGGCAGTCATCTTTACAGAAGTGATCATTGAACCTATGAGAACTGATGAGATTTCTGATGCCTTGTCATATTCTATGCCCTAATTTTAAGGTCACCAGTAACAATAACCCTTCAATTCCATTTGCCTTTCACTAGTTAGACTAAGTACTAAGTTTCCTTTACTATTCTTACCTTCCAAAACAAAATATACCTGTGCCCTTTCTGGTTCTTCCTGCTGCTCTGTTTTGAACCTTTTCTTTCTAATTTTTGAGAAGGCAAGATATTGCTCTTTACATCTTTAGTGGGTAGGATTAGAGGGTGAAAAATCCTACTTTTCAGAGTATTAACCTTTGAGAAAACCTTTTGAAATCCTAGTCCCAATGCCCTTTGGCATGGAACTTTCTCCTCTATTGGTGGAGATTAATATCCCCAGCCAAGCCGATCAATATCCCCAGCTTCTCGGTGGGGAGGTGGGGGTGGGGGTGGGGATGCAAGTTGTCCAGAGCCAAAGAGTTTTAGTCTTTGAGTTTTCAAGCTTCAAGTTTTTTCTGGCTTCCAGCTTTGAGAGAGAAGAAGGAAGAATCTAACCCTGCTTCAGGTCACTGAAGAAAAAGATTCTGGGAAGATATGAGAGGAGCTGGCAATTTCTATTATGCCCCTATCCCCAGTTTGCTATAGTAGGGAATTCAGGGAACTTCCCCTTGAGTGACATCTAGAACTTTCATGGTTGAGCTGAGTTACCTTGCTCCCAATGAGAAAGCTCCTTCACTCTGTATTGTCTGGTATATATTTTCCTATGTATACCTCTGATTTCTGTTTTGCTACCAATTTGGATAGATTTTTTTTAAATAGTATGTTATTTTTTCCAATTACATGTAAAGATAGTTTTCTACATTCACTTTTCATATGATTTTGTGTTCCAAATTTTTCTCCCTCCCTCCTCTTCTTCCTTCCTCCCCTTCTCCCTCCTTTCCTTCCCTTCTCCCTCCCCAAGATGGCAAGCAATCTGATATGTTATACATGTGCAATCATGTTAAACATATTTCCACATTAGTCATGTCATGAAAGAAGAAACAAAAGAAAAGCAAAAACCATGGGAAAAACAACAACAAAAAACAGAAAAGTGAAAGTAGTATACTTTGATCTGCATTCAAACTCCATAGTTCTTTCTCTGGATGTGGATCAAATTTTCCATCATGAGTCTTTTGGAATTGTGTTGGATCATTTTATTGCTGAGAAGAGCTAAGTGTATCATAGCTGATTATTGAACAATGTTGCTATTACTGCATACAACGTTCTCCTGGTTCTGCTCACTTCACTCAGCATCAGTTCATGTAAGTTTTTCCAGGTTTTTCTGAAATCTGCCTGCTCATCATTTCTCATAGATTAATAGTATTTCATTATATTCATATATCACAACTTGCTCAGCTATTTCCCAACTAATGGGCATTCCCTCAATTTCAAATTCTCTGCTATCACAAAAAGAAAAGAGAAGATTCTTTTTTTGTACATGTCCTTTTCCATTTTTTTTATGATCTCTTTGGGATACTGACTTAGTAATGGTATTGCTGGACCAAAGGGTATGTACAATTTGATTGCCCTTTGGGCATAGTTCCAAATTGCTCTCCAGAATAGTTAGATCATTTCGAAACTCCATCAAGAATGCATTAGTGTCCCAATTTTCCCACATCTTCTCCAACACTTATCATTTTCCTTTTCTGTCATATTAGCCAATCTGATAGGTATGAAGTGGTACATCAGAGTTGTTTTAATTAGCATTTCTCTAATCAAGATTAAGAGCATTTTTTCATATGGCTATAGATAGCTTTAATTTCTTCATATGAAAACTGCTTATTCATATCCTTTGAACATTTATCAATTGGGAAAAGACTTGTATTCCCTACTAATCTTGGTTGCATTGGTTTTGTTTGTGTAAATTTAAAAAAAAATTTAATGTAATCCAAATTATCCAGATAAATGGATTTTCTTGGCTAAGTGCTATGTTCATTACGGAACCAGTATTTGGTGGGAAAGTGGTCAAGCCTTGTATATAAAGTTTTAGGTCCTACTTCCCCCCAGTAATGAAACAGTGATCAGAAATTAGATTGAGCCTGATCACATTCCCTAGAGTAACAATATTGAAGGGACCAGAAAGATATAATTCTGGCCCAGTACCCCATCTCTCTGAGAGCAGAGTAGCCTTTGGCCCCAACTTACTGCTTCCATTCCCAGCAGGAATTAAAGTCTCCCTTGGAGAAGGGTGGGAGGGAGTGGATAACAGGCTAGAGATGTCTATTCTGCTTCCCTTCTATCCAAACAAAGACATTTCCATGTTACATGCTAAAGGAACAGCCCTTGAAACACATGGTTCTCACCACATTTTTTTTTTTTTAATAAGGGACAGGTAGAGAACTTCATACATAAGTCTGACCATGTCACTCTTCTGCCTAAAAAACCTTTGATGGCTTCTTATTGTCTATAGAATAAAATGCAAAATTCTTAGTCTGGAAGTCATGGTCCACAATCTAGCTTCAACCTCCTTTCTAATCTCATATATCATGATTTCCTTTCATGCACTTTACACTCTAGCTACACTGGACTCCTAGCTGGTCCCCTTTGCTCTCTTCTGCTCTGTGCATTTAGCCTCTACCCCTGGAACACACTTTATTCATTGTTAGCTTTTGGAATCTTTCTCTTTTCTTCTTGTATGACTTAGCTCAGGGGTCAGATCAATTCAATTCCACAAACATTTATTAAACACCTACTATACTCAAGGCATTCAGCTAGGTGCTAGGGATAAAAAGACAGAAATAAAATAGTCTCTGCCCTTGAGGAGCTTACATTCTTCTAGAGAATGTACTCAGATGTACATATACTCAGATCAGAAATCTGTACTCAGAACAATAAACATAAAATGCATATAAAGTAATAGAAATGAAACCTTTTGAAAGTTATCTTTCAATTCAAATTTTTGTATACAATCTTGGGCGAATTTTCCTTTTGCTCTTTGTTAAAGTCTATCTTATATAATACTTACATGAGGAATCTTCTCTCTCTCTCCTGTAGAAAATCACATTCAGAGCAGAAATGGTGTCTTTTGTTCATCCTCATTGCTGAAAACATGCCTGGCAAGTAGTAAATACTTAATGTTTAATTTGTGGTTGAATTGCAGGCCCATCAAGGACTTTTGTATTCCAACTCCTGTGACACTCACTTCCTGGAACTGCTAGAAATATAGCCTGTCGAGCCCTGTATATGACAGGCATAAACAGACTAGCAGAGGCCCTTGAAAATCAGTGAAAAGCTCAGCTATATTTGAGGCAGAGTATGTTACAGGGAACATGGTATCAATAGAATGAATACTAGACTATGACTGTGAAAAGCTGTCCAGTTTCAGCACTTTGACCAACAACCTTAGACAGTTCACCACTGTTTAGGAGGAGGTCTCTCTATCTTTAATCTCAAGGAATTAGATTAGATCTCTAAGGTCCTGTTTGGCCTAAAATCCTATGAGGGAACTAGTGGTAGGTCTTGAGGAATGATATGGTTAAAGTGCAAAGTGCCTGGCCTGAAAGATGAATTTTGATTTGCTATTCATTTTTGGAATGATAATAAGATTGATTTTGCAAAACGTGAAAACTGGAAGACTGTCAAATTTCCATTAAAAATATAATGGACCCAAATAAAAAATATAGATATTGATTTTTAATGATAAATTTAGAAGATTAACATATACAATAGAATTTTTAGATCAACTCCTGATTAATGTAATGAGAGGCAGTGTGGCATAATGGAAAGAGCCTTGGACTTAAAGTCAGAGGACCTAGGTTCAAATCCCACCTGTGTGACATTGGCCAAGTTATTTATCTTCTCTGGGCAGTAGTAGTGTCCTTATTGGAGGTTGGATTTGATGATTTCTAGCACCTTCCAGTTCTTGAAAAGTTTTGTGATTTCATTGGTAAAAGGAATTCCTCTACGGATGCAGTTGGCATCTTTTTCTGCAGTTTAATTTTGAGAGAGACCTCAGAATACTGAGAGACTAAGGGACTTGCCCAGGAACACATAGCCTGTATGTATCAGGGGTGGGCCTTGAGACCTCTACCTGCTAGCCCCAAAGGCAATTCTCTAGACACTATATGCTGTCCAGTGCTATGTCTGATAATGTAGTAATTTATAATGTATAATTTATACATCTTTTTATATTTTGCAAACGTTTTACAAACAGATTAGCTATTCCTTGAAACAATTTTATGAGGAAAGTTGGCATTAATTCCTGAAGAGATGAAGAAAGTATTTCCTCTTTCAGACGACTTATTTCTTATGTGATAAGAATTGCTAAAGAGGAAGCAATCAAACCAATCAGTTCTATTCATCCAGAAAGTAGGTGCTTCCTGATTTATAAAAACGAATTCCTATCCTTTTGTCAAAGATCTCATTTAAATAGGAGAATGGTACTACGATTCATCTTGTGCAATGATTCTCCTCCTTTTTGGGAGGTATATGAGTACAGGCTTAGGAATTCTACCAGAAAAAACAAAAACAAAAACAAAAACAAAAACAAACTTTACACTAGCAATTTTATCCTGCAAAACTTCTGGTTTATTTTGTTTTAAAAAGCTTGCATTTACCTCCAACACTTAAAAGCTAAAGGTTCAAAACTCAGTAGTGTCCTCTAGAAATTCGAAGGATTTTATTTCGATCAGCTACACGGCTTCTTAATTAAATGCTCTACATACACATCCTTCGACCTGTAGTCCCTCAAGACTCGATCTTAATTGGGGACTCAGCTAAATTGTCTTTTCTGTGAGAGCTACTGATGGATTGATTCCTCCAGGAAATGGTAAAATTAGAAATCTCACTGCGGAGATGTTTTACATATTAAAAAAAGACAGAGCCCCACCCCCCACCCCTTGTATTTTTAGAGGCACTAATTTTCTTCCAATACTTCCTGTAGTAGTTCGGCTTGAGGACAAGCGAGGCCACAGAGCTCGGACAGTGTGCGGGCTCCGAGGCGCGACCTTCCAGGGTCCCTGGAGGTTAAATGCCCCGCTTTGGAAGCAGCAGGAGGGCGCGGGCGACCCTGGCAGGAGGCTCGGGCCCGGGGATGTGCTGGAGAGTCACTCCTCCCTCCCGGGTTAAAGCCCCAACACGCCACGCGCAGGACGGGAAGGAGGGCGGACCACAGCGGGACTCCCTGGCCCCCGGCACAGGGTGCCCCTCTCGGCCAGCACAGCGAAAACCCCCGTTAGTGCGGCTTCGAAGCCACTCCGGGAGGCAGCCCCACTGGCTTAGCCAGAGCTGTCCAGCTGTGGGGAAGGGGAGGGGGAGGAGTCAGGCGGGGTTCAGCCCCACCCTCCTAGGTCCTGTCACTTTAAGGCAAGCAGGAATTCCTGGGCCCCGCCCCCTTCCCGAAGCTCCACTTCCGATTGGCTCGTAGAGATGCCAGTCGCGGGCGGAGGTTTCGTCATCCTCCGGCACAGGGCTCTCCCATTGGCCCAGGCGCCGGCAGCTTGTAAATGGTGCTGGGAAAGGGGGAGGGGAGGAGAGTGTGAGAGCGAGCGCGAGCGAGGCCCGGGTGGGAGCGGGAGGCTGGCTGGTTTCGCAATCGCCTCTCGTTGTCCGCCGGTTCCAACTCCTCGAAGTAAGGCGTCGGGGTCGCGCCGCAGCGGGGGCCTCGCTGGGTTCGCCTCGGGTGGAGGCCCCCTAGGTAAGGAGCGGGGCCGGGCCGGGTTGAGGCGGCTTTGGGGAGCCCGAACGGGCCGGGCCGGGCCGGGCCGGGCTCGGCTCGGCTGGGCGCCGGAGGCCGCGGCGGAGCCGGGCGCTCGCTTGAGCGCGAAGCTACGAGGCCTTTGGGGGCGCGCTCCGGGGCCAGGCACTGGAAGCGGGGACTGGCCGTGGCGGGTCCCGAGCCCCAAGCCCAGAACGCCGCCGCCGTCGCCCGGGGAAGTCCCCGCGTGACCCGGGGTGTGGATGGCGGCGGGGGGTGGGGGGTGGGGAAGCGGCTCCGTGTGCAGCGTCTGATGCAACCTGCTGGCAACACCCACCCCCTGCTGCGGTGAGGTCATCCCTGGCCCCCACCCAGCGCCCGGGGCGGGGCGGGGAGGCCCGGCCCTTGTCCTCTGCCTTCCGGGAGGAGACCCCTTCCCTCCCCTCCCCCCGGGAGGCCGCGTTGGGTGCGTGGAGTGGGAAGAGGCTGGGGGGGGGTAGCCAAGTTTGAGTCCCGCCTCCATTGTTTACTTACCTGAGTGATCCCAGACTAGTCGCTTACTGGATCCCTAAGCTTCCTTCGTGCTTTGAAATCAGTGAACTGTCAGTGTAAGCATTTATTAAGCTCTTTTGGTGTGCCTGCCACTGGGCTAAGTGCTGATGATAATAAGAAAGGCAAAAGCTATCCCTTGCACTTAAGGAGCTCTTGGTCTAATGGAGGAGACAACTTGCCAACAACTACGTACAAACGGGACATATACGGGATAAAATGGGTGTGATCGGCAGACGGAGGCACCCGCCCTCCAAGGAGATTGGGAATGACTTCTGGTAGGAGGAGGTGGGATTTTAGCCGAGACTTGAATTGGAGCCAGGGAGAGAATGCCAGGCCTGGAGTAGGGAGCATATCGGGGTGTAGGGCTGCTTCCCTTTCCCGTGTCATAAATCCCCCTTGGCATCTGCCGAAGCTTCTGGACCCTTTCTCAGAATTATGCTCTTTTTTTTTTTAAACATTCATTTAAAATTGTTTTGAGTTCCAAATTCTCTTCTTCTCTGCAGTCCATCCCCCACCCATTAAGGAGGCAAGCAGTATAACTACAGAATAATGTTTTTAAATGCACAAAATTAGGATTACAAAGAAAATAAATTATATTGAAATAGTTACCTAAGTTCGTAAGCCTCAGGTTAAGAACCCCTGTTGTACTGACTGAACTTTGTGGAATCTGTTGAGTTCAACATAGGTTCAAATACTGTCTTGAGTACTTAATAACTGAGTGATCCTGGACAAGTCGTTTAACTTCTTTGACTTCAATTTCTTCGTGTGTAAAATAGAAATAACAAGAGCACTTACTTCACGACTTCTTTATGGAGCCAAAAAGGTAATATATGAAAAGCATTTGAAGTGCTTTGTAAATGTCAGCTGTTTCCATTTTTTATGGTTGATATTATTTTCCCTATCAGAGGAGACTCAAGCCCAATCCTGCATTTTATCTCCTTTCCCTTGCTTTCCCAGCTTGAGAAAACTGGGATGCTCCTTTACTATCTTCCTGTGTCCTGCTCTATCAGAGTGGCCCCAGCCCTGCCTTCCCCTTCTGTCCCAGTCCAGGTGAACCTGATGCCATTCATTTGCTCACCAGCCTGGAATCTAGCATGGGTAGCCCAGAGTCATAAACTGTAAGAACTGGACGGGTTCTTTAAGAGCATCTCGATCACCCCCATTATTCAACTGATGGGAAAACTGAGTATGTACCCAAAACAGGAAGGGATTTGCCCAATATCACATTGAATCAAAGTTAGTGGATAAGATGGGACTAAAACCTATGTTTCTTGGCACCCAGGCCAACTGCTGATCCTCCCAGAATGTCAAATGAATCTCTGCTTCTTCTTTCTTCCTAGTCAGAGCCACCTCCCTCTCCCCTGTGACCTTCTCAGAGCTACCCCTGCCCCCCCAATCAACTAGGCCCTGGGGAGCTAATTTCTGGCTCTTCTACAGTAATACTGGGAGAGAGTTTTGTTTTTCTCTTATGTGGGAGGGGAATATCACTTCCTATCATGATGTAGGAGCACAACCCAGTATTCTCTGTCAACACTTCCTCCCCCTGGGGAAACATACCCCACCTCCTCCCTGGATTGGAGAAGTAGCCTATTCTCTTGCTGGCTGCTAGCCTTGACCTCTGGAGTGAAGTGCTAAATACTAGTTTGGGGATCAGCAATAAGGGCATCTGGGGCTGTATGAATTAAATAAAAAGCTAAATGTTCTTTCCAGAATGGTTTAATTTTTGATTTGTTTGCGAAATGTGTATTTGACAACCCAGACATGTAATATTGGCCCTTTGGGATCAAGTATGTTTCTAAATATCAGGAAGATGAACAGTATTATAAGTTATTACCAAAAAGAAACATTTTTTCTTTACTGTCTATATTTTTGCGTGGTAAAATTTTCAAAATGAACAGCAGTGGGTTTAGAAAAACTTGGGTTTTAATAAGCTGGTTGTGAATGTCAGATGATACGGATCTAAATTGAGATATAGTAATAATAGTCTTCTGTTTGTTTATGGGAATCAATTTTAATTTCTTGCAGTTCACAAATTGAATATACAAGGTATTCATTGTGGATGATCATGTAACATTCTGAGAGTCAACTGGGAAAAGAGGTGGGTATGAAAATTTATCACAGCAGCAAGAGAGTTTGAAGTGAAAATGAAGTTAATGAAAATGGTGAGCAGAAGTAATCATATAGAGGGGTGATAGAAATGTGGAGTTTCTGTTTTTTTTTAAGAAGGTATATTTTCTTCAGGGGCACTCTACATATCCCACCTGGGGTAGAGTGGAAGAGGGGCATCCTGATTCCCAGACCCCTTCTTCCCATTTCCTTGAATATCCTGATCCTATGCTTTCCCACTTCAGATACTTATGCCCCTACTAGGTATTATTTAATTGTAGTTATTTGTTGATTTGCCTATCCCCTCTACCACGATAGCTCCGTGAGAGTAGGGACATAAATAAATTTTGAATCTCCAGTTCTCCAAACCCAGAAGTACTTAATGAATGTTAGATTGAATCAAAACTAAGCAAATAACATTTTTTCTTGTTTTTCCACTTTTACAGGTGGACATTCCTTTTTTCCCTTAGTCAAGTATTATGTTCTGTTGTTATTTAAGTTATTAGGTTTTTTTTTGTATTTCCTTAGCACTTTATTGAAAAAAAAATACCTTTTGTCTTTGTCAGTCACTTCTCACCACTACTTTTATAGATTAAACCATCTCTTGTGACAGAGAAAAACAATTAAGCCGAAGACATATAATAAAGAGACATCTGATAATGTATATAATAACTTGTCATCAATCATTGCCTCTCATGGTAGTCACCTATCTTTCTGTATTTTTCTTTGGGACTTTCATTGGTTTTTACATTACTCAGAGTTTAACTTCCTTTTAGGCATCTGTTCATTTACATTGTTATAGTCACTGTGAATAGTGTTCTCTGGGTTCTGCTTATTTTATTCTGCATCAATTCATGCAAATTTTACATCTGAATTCTCCGTATTCATTATTTTTTACTGCACATTAATATTTTATTACATTTCCATGCTGTAGTTTTTTTCAGTCATTGCCCTAAAATGTTGATTTTAGAATGTTTTAAACTCAGTTTCAGGAGCAAGTCAAAAAAAACCAAACCAGAAATAGATGTGGCAAAACTTGGTTAGTTGTTCTAGCTGTACCACTATATGACTTTGGATTAGTTAATCTCTATGGGCATTTGATTCTTCACTTGTGAAATTAAAGTTTGAGCTAGGTGGCCTATAAAGTCCTTTTGACTTTTGATTCGGTGATTTCACAAATTAAGTTCTGAGAAGCACATATAATTATATATGCTTTTTTTTTTCCGAATTAGAAAATAATGTCTAAAGGAATTGTTTTTGACTTTTTAGTACTGTCTTTATTATAAATAGTGAATCAGGCTTTTACTTAGTAAAAATCTGTATGTCTTGTTTGAGTTTTCGGTCATTCTGTTTAAGAGTTCAATTTATTGAGATTCCTTTTCGTGAAATTCTTGGTAATACAAAACATCATGTCAGTTAATTCTGTCTACCTCGTATTTAGGCAAGGTTAATCAGTTTTTTTATGTCTTCTGTTTTTTACATTATCATAATTTTCCCCAGTATCCTTCCAGCTCCCGAAGGGCCACTCCATATGATAATATTTTTAAAAAAAAAAAAAGAAAAAGAAGAAAAAAATCAGCACAACTGATCCTTATGTTGAAAAAGTCTGAAAAAGTGCAGTGTGTAACACCTATGGACTTTTCAGTTCAGAAAGAGATGGGTTGGGAAGGTATCCTTCCATCATAGCTCCTCAGAGGTTAGTTTATTTATTTATTTATTTTTTAATATTTTGAGTTTAGTTTATTTTTAAGGTAGATGCTGTGATATTCGAAAAACACTTTTTCTTACTGTAAATAAAATGGAAAAAAATCAAATTTTTTTTGTATCAACATTGTTACTTTAGAAGCATTTTTCAAAAGTTTTGAGGAAATCTCTGGATCCTGATGGCATTGTAAGGAGAGGTACATCATTTGCCTAGTTTTGCCCAACCATGTGTCTATAAAGCCATAAAAAGATATGCAGTTTAATTATTCAAATCTCTTTTATCATAAAGGATATCAGAACACTTTATAAATATCAATTCAGTTTCTTTCTCTAGTGAGGTAAGTATTATCCAGTGGGTAAGCAAAGGTCACACCTATGAGTCATTGGTACAACCATGAGCAGAGCCCTAGAGAGCTGACATCTGAGTTGCATTCCTTGTTCTTAGATTGCTTTGCCCTGTCAAAATAACATTAAACACATCTCCTAGCTGCATAAATTGTTTAAAGGTCATTTTCAGTAGGTTTAAAAATGGGGGTATATGGAAGGTGGGTTCCTTTAGGTGCCAGTGGGAAACAAATACTGGCATTAAGGATAAATAACATTTACACTTACCCTCCTTGAAACTTGTTCTAGAGGGGATAAGCTTGGTGAAGATGGATAGTCAAGAGCTGTATAATGCTATAAACACATTGAAAAATAGGGTGATTAGGGGGCAGCTAGGTGGCGCAGTGGATAGAGCACCGGCCCTGAATTCAGGAGTACCTGAGTTCAAATGCGGCCTCAGACCAAACACTTGACGATTAATAGCTGTGTGACCCTGGGCAAGTCACTTAACCCCACTGCCTAGCCAAAAAAACCAAAAACAAAACAAAAAATAGGGTGATTAATTGGGAAAGATGATGAGCTGAGAGGAAAGAGGAGCAGCCAGCCATACTGTATCGAAACAGACATGAAGGGGCCCAAAGAGCTTTGTTTTCACAGTCTGTCCTGTTATCTGCTCTCAGTAATCACAAACTTAGTGGAGTGTGAAGACATTTCAGTAACATTATCTTTAATTAGAACGAAGCTGCTTTAAGAAAGCTTCATGCTGGAAAAGACTGTAAGATGAATCCAGTTTTTTGTCACTTACCTGGATTCTGGGAGGCCTTGAATCTAGGTCCAGGCCTTCGTTAAGGTAAAAACAAATTGAGGGAAACTTGAATTTTAATTAGGTTAAAAAAAAAAAAGGATGAATTGCCTAGGTATCTCCCAAATCAAATTATGATAGATTGAAAAAATTTATTTTTACATTTTTGCTGTAGCTCATGTGAGTTTTGGTGTTTCTTTTCATTATTGTATAAAAATACCCTGAGCCTTCAGTATGATGCTGATTTGGAAGCAATGGTTGAATTTGAGAGTTATGACTCAATAAAAATGTTGGCGGGAATTTACAGTTTTCAGATCCAGTTTTAATCTGAAGCATTTCCAAATGCTTCACACTTGAAATGATTCTTATGAAAGGGATAAAGGCACCACCTCCTTCCAGTAGGCTGAGCTTTGGGGTAGTAGCTAGTTGAATGTGAACCCAGCGTTTCCTATTGTGTTCACTGTATACATTTGAAATACTCTGATTTTTCTGTCCAGTACATAAATAACAAAAGCCCAATTTCTTTGATAAGGTGCTGAAATCTAAACCTAAGGTTTTAATGTATCTCTTTGAATTAGCAGTAATGATTTATCCATCAAAATAACTCTTTTGCTTAAAAGACTGAGGCAGTGTGATCCATCTAGCATTAGTCTCACGATAACCTATTTTTTTAAGTACAGTGCCTGTGAGTCTTACTGCTGAATATTTGATTAATTTGTAAATACAATCAAGTAGAGGCAACTGGTTTAACCATTTATACACATGGACACCTTTTTCAGGGTAGATTATTATGAAATAGAATCTTATAGCTCTTTGCTATAGTAAACTGAAAATTAATTTTGAGTCAGAACTTTGATCTACTTTACTTGGTGTTGTGTTCTTTTAATTAAGTGGATTAAATATCTTTAGGGACTCTGGCCTTATGTATGGCTAAGATTACCTACTTGATGATATTTTAGTTTAAATTTTTAGAGGCTTTTTTTTTTTTTTTTAGCCAAATCAGTGATTTCATTGATGTATTGAGCTCCAGGTGGGGACCTTTTGCCCTTGGAAATGGATACCTACTCTGAAACTTTTAATTTTAGAGAAGGTGGCCTGGGACACTGAGAGATGTGAATTGCTAAGGGTCCCATGAAGGTGGGACATGAACTCAGATCTCCCTGACTCCAGGGTCGGCTCTCTAGTGTTACGCAATGCTGCCTCTCTCTCTAGTATCATATTTCTGTTTTTTGTGTTTTAACTAGACATATATTTTCCATGCCCTCTTCTTTTTTAGCATGATGCCTATATGCATGGATCATGATGAATCTGTCATCTTGTTCAGAAGCCTTTTGGCACTCCCTGTCTCCCCCCCCCCCCCCCAAAAAAAATCGAGGAAGCTGAGTTTGGAGCCTAGGGAGCAGAATTAGAACAGACTGTTAAAGCTTGAAGGAAGGGGCCTTAGAAGTCTTCTAGCCCAACTTCCTCCTTTATACATAGGAGAGCTTAGGCCTGGAGGCCTGAAACCAGCTGTGGAGCAACCTCCAGATACCTTTCCCCTCCCCCACAGTCTCGGACTCTTTGGGGCCTTTGCCATCTTCAGGCTGGACCCAGGTTGGCCCCTGAGTCAGACATTTGAGGGTGTACCAAATGTAAATGATGAATAAAATAGCCAAGAGCCAATAATTGGATGGCCTCTGTGTAGAAAAAGTGATCCTGGGAGAGAACATTAAATTGAAAGGATATAAAAAGATCCAACTAAGAAGACTTTTTTTTTCACTCCACATTGAACAAATAAGTAATAGTGGTAAATGGCTGCAGGAATAACTTAAGTTAATATTAGACAGTCTCCTCATAACTAGAAGAAAAGTTAGGCAATGCAATGAACTGTCTAGGGACGTTGTGAAATGACTATTATGGAGATTCTGAGTGCTGAACTAGATGTCCATCAGGGATGGTTTTTTGGAGTAATGCAATCTGTCCTCCCATAGTACTGGAGCTGGAAAGGATGACCCATTAAATACTCCTTCCAAATTAAATGATTTGAGACTTCTAAAACATCTGAAAAGTTGGCAGTTCTGCCATAGACTTTTTTGCAGTACAAAAACAATGTTGGATAGCTATTGCTGAGATTATGTTAAGTATAGTCAAGTGCAAAGTCTCTTTTAAACCTGTTATTTAAAATGTTTAATAATGTTTATTTTTCTCCTAGGTGCATGTGAAGATTTCTTGGCAGTGGAGTGTGGAAACTTGGTTGCTTGTATCTTCCTTCACCCCTTCCTCTGTTCCCCCTCCACCATTTCTAACTCTGTGCTGAAGTTAAAGAAGAGTGTCCAAATGAGCAAGACATCCCAACAGAGCAGTACTGCAGGAGCAAATGGAATCAGTGTCATTCATACACAAGCACACGCCAGTGGTTTGCAGCAGGTTCCTCAGGTGGTGCCGGTCAGCCCTGGGGGAGGAGGCAAAGCTGCACCTCCCAGCAAGCAGAGCAAAAAGAGTTCATCTGTGGATAGGAACAGTGACGAGTATCGACAGCGGAGGGAACGGAACAACATGGCGGTGAAAAAGAGTCGGTTAAAAAGCAAGCAGAAAGCCCAGGACACCTTGCAGAGGGTCAACCAGCTGAAGGAAGAGAACGAACGCTTGGAAGCAAAGATCAAACTTCTGACTAAGGAATTAAGTGTACTTAAAGATCTGTTTCTTGAGCATGCACACAATCTGGCAGACAACGTACAGCCTATGAGCGCTGAAAGCACTACAACAAATCCCGATAACACAGGACAGTAGAGGTGTCTCTTCACAACCTTGGGGAATTGAACTTTAGAAGGTGTGACTTGCACCACTCACATTAGTATCAGAGCTGATCTGTTTTAGTATTTAAAGATCCTTTTTGGGATATTTTCTAGGTTAAGCACTGAAGATTTGATTAGCCTAAAATGTTAACTTGTTGGTCTTTTTTGAAGTAATAAGTTGCTTTTTATCAAAAGTTGGATAATTTTTTCAAAGATATGAAAATCTCAGAACTTGATGTTATTGCTAAGACTTGGATTTCCCCAGAAATGCTCATTTTCTTTTTTTGGCATGGAGAAATAGGAGTATACCAGGCAAGTGGCAGATTAGGCAGACGTTTACTGGTTTTAATGAAGAGAATTGGATGAAAAAAATTGATGTTAAATGTTCTTTTAAAAATCTGTACACTGTAATGTAAATTGGCTGTTTAGAGACAGATCAGTTTATAATATGAGGGTTATAAATACATTGTTTTAACATAATTAGAAGTTTTTCCCTAGTTGGCATAAATTGTTTCTCAATAGTATGGTTCAGCAGTGATGGCTAAAGTGTTACAAATGATTATTATAAACAGGGGATTGTAAATGTGCTATGTAGCACATTGAAATTGGCATACCAAAACTGTAAATGGCTAAGGGAGCGAGTGGATTAATATTTATTCTTGTAAGCCTCTATATCAGCGAAATTTGTTAGAATTCTCCTTTCAGGTTTTCTGGGATTATAGGGCTATATGAAAAAAAAAAAGTCAGGAATGTTTAGAACAACTCAGAAAAACTGAAGTGTCTCTCTAAGTGTTAGTTTTAAAGAATTGTTAAAATAGACATTTTTGGCTACATATGTTGAAAAGTACTTCATGTAGTATATTACCAGCCTATTTAGTATTGGGCTCAAGAGGTAGTTTTACTGAGAATGGAACTTTTCTTAGGTCACAATTTTATAGGAAGCCTTCATCAAAAAGTTTTTATTTTAACAAAAGAGTGATTACTCAAAAATTTGTGGATAATTTCATACTTTTCCTGAAAATACAGTGGTAATGTACCATTAAGATGGCTCTTAAAAAGACAAACTAAGATGTCAAACCCTTTTAACTTATTTCATCGTTTGTAATATCAGCCTGTCGTATTTCTTATCTGGTCATCACACTATACTCTCCCAAATATTTTTTCACCCTTTACTTCCATTCATTAATTTTTAAGCTTGTGTGCCCTATAAACATATTTAGAAAGAGTATGTTGGTGAGAAAGTTGTTAGGATGCTGATAGAGAAAGCACAAAATTATTTTGTGATTAAAAATGTCAAAGGGAAGCTGTGGAGACTGTTCCATTTAATAGTAGCAGTTTAAAAGTCTTTCTTAACATTTTTTTGGCTTGGCTTTATCTTACCTGTTTTACTTTGTAATTTTATGTGGGGCTGGCTTCCTCGCCATTTAGTAGAACTCATCCACTCTTTGTTGACAGACTATCCGTCAGGTAAATCTGTTTACTGTGTGTCTGTCGCTTCAAGCTACTGTGGTGGGCCTCAGTTTTTAACTGTAGTTTGGTGCTTCATACCAGTATAATTGAGACAGGTTAGGGAAGTAGGAGTGCCTTTTATTTACTGAGTGGAATACTTTGCAGTGCACCTGTGAAGGTTTTCAATAACCAGGGTGATAAACTCCCTTTTCTTGGCATCTCAGCCATTTTGCTTGTCAGGATAGCCCTTTGGCTTAGGGCAGGGGACAGACTGGAAACCCTATGGGATAAAATTGATGATTAAGGTTTGGTTAATATTGTCAATTTGAGCTAATTTGAAACTTGTATTAGACTCAGTAGTTGGAATTGTGGTAAGTGACATTGGGCTTGCTTGTTGTAATAGGATGGGAGTTAGCTAAAGCCTTTGTAGTTGTAGCTCTGTTTGTGAAGATAGGAACCATATGTCATTTTATGAATGATTGGACCTTTCTCAGAAAGGTTATTGACTTCATATGGAGCAAGGAAGGAGTATAGGGAGTTTTATAAGGACCAGTTCACTGTGTTGGCTTGAAACGTTTAGCTACCTGTTAAAGCTAATGGAGATTTTGATTAACTGGGTCACCCCATATAAGTCTTTAGAAGCAGTTTGAAGCTGGATCATCTCAGTAATATTTTAAAATGAAAGTTTCATAACTGGGGATATCAGGTCACTTACTGTCAAGCACATATGGTTCTAGACTTTTTTTCTCTCCTATATCATTTGCTGAAAAACACATCCATCATAGAAATACACAATGACAGCTTATAGAAATTTGGTCAAATCCCCTTACGGTATAGATGAGGAAACTAAGGTACAGAAAGGTTGTGACCTGCCCAAGATCGCATGGCAAATTAGTGACTGAGCTAAGACTAATATCCGGATCTCCTCACTTCCAGTCCAGTGCTCTTTGCTCTGCACTGTGTTAATAACCTCATCAGGCTTCATATGTTTTTCAGTGATTCCAGATGGATTTGTGGGTGCTATTGGGGGTGTTAGATGTGATAAGCATTTTAAAATCGGCTAGAATATAACTTGAAACTATTTCTTAAGTGGATTCAAGCTTTCGTGCTTGAGCTAAGTAAATTACAGAGTTTTAGTTTAAGGTATAATAGAGACAAATTTCATAGGTTATCAGTTTCTGAATAGAAATAACTTCAGAATGCAAGATTTCATCATCTAAAAGCTTACTGTTGCTTAGGCTCAGTCTGCTTCATTGACATAATGTTAGAACAAGAGCTCAGACACTGGAGAAGACATGCTAACAAAATGGAACCATGTTCTGGAAAATCAGGGCTTAGACAGTGTGGAAATTGACATAAATTGGAAGTGTGTGCAGTTTAAAGCACTTCAGCTTTCTCTGTTGTCTTTAGCAGGCTTAAAATACTTAACCTAAACAAGATAGTGCTCAGAGTACTCCAAACTGCCTTAGAAATAGGGAAGCTGGTTTTTATGTTGAATTGACAGAAGCTAGGGAGAAGAAAGACCACTTTATGGATGTTAGCTCTGCCTCTCAGGAAAAAAAAAGTACCAACTTGTTCTTTCTATTCCTGGCTTTTCTCAATTTGTGAGATTTCTATTTTTTTAATAAAATTTGATTTCTTCCAATGAATTTGAAATAAAAATCTTTGGAACAATGGTACCAATTTGCATTTTTACTTAAAAAGATTGTATACACAAGGCTTTTTTGTATAATGAACAAATGGGGTGGATGAGAATTGGGAAATCTGTTATTCAGACTTTGAAATGTTTTTGCCTCTGATGGCATCTGGATTTTAACAAGCTAGGGGAATAATTTCATGTAGTATTTGGTGAAAATAGAGGTTTATTTTTGGTTGTTTAGATGTCACCTCTTAATTAAAAGTTAATATCTATGTAGAATTAGGAAAGCAGTACATTGGGTTTTGCTGATTAGACAGATACCTTGCTTCCTAGTGAAGAAAAAAAATTCATTCATTTTTGTCTTGTCTAATCTAGCATTTTTCAAGAGTTATAAAAATGGAATTTTCCTTAATGATTTCAGAATTGGACTTTGTTTGAAAGGCTAATTTAGTTGAAGGACACTCAGAAGTGTCAGGCTTAGCCTTTCTGCCCCTCCTAAAATGCCATTTTTGTCCTCACTAGGACATTCAGGCTCTGAAGTGGTAACATTTTTAAAGTAATAGATATATAGCATTTTGTTTATAAGATAGTGAATGGAGTTTAGTGTTCAGAGGAAAATAAGGTTAGATTATTTTTTACTCATACATTTCAAACAAAAAATGCCTTGGAAATTATTCCTACTTTCTCTGTCTCTCATAAATGAAAACAATGGACTATGACTTAAGGTGAGCTTTGTCCCTTTTGTTTTTATGATTTGGTTGCAGTGCAGTATCGGATAACTTAAAATCAGGAGTGTTCCTTGGCACCTAGTTCTTTGCTGGGGCTGGGTCTTTGGAGTAAACTGACACCTGTTACTGTTTTCAGTTTGTGTTCATCACCTGAGTAGTTCTGCATTTTGTATCTCAATAAGAATGACAGGGATCTTCCAGGTTAATTACTCCAAGATGCAGTACAATGAGGTTCAATAATATGCCCAGCTCCTGCTTTTAAATTTTTATTGTTCGAGGTGCTCTGCAGAGAAGATTTAACCATGGAACCTTTTTGTGACTGATGGCTCACTGCAAGGTGAGTAAAAGGGGTAAGTAAAAGTGAAAATAACCAGAAGGCAGAGAAGAAGTGCCTTTAGACAGTTGAATGTGAGAACTGGGGGGTGTGAGTGGAGGTTTTGGTGATTAGTCTGGCCTGTAGATGCTTCTTCCCGTGTCTAACATCTGTGAAATTTTTCTGGTGCAACCAAAGCTTATACTTAACCTTGAAGGAGTAAACATGGATTTTGACCTAACAGTGTTTGAAAGGGCTATACTCAACTCTTTACCTTACCCTTATAAAAAGTGGGGAAGAATCATAGCTTTAGTGATGAAAGGGACCTTTGAAGACATCTAGTCCAATTTTCTCATTTACATCTGAGGAAACTGAGCCCCAGAGAGATTAAGTGATCAGTCCTAGGTCAGTCACACAAGTAATAAATTGGCAGAGGTAGATTTTAAACTCAGATCCTCTGATTCCAACTCCAGCATGCTTTCCATTGCACCATGTATTGCCTTCCACTTTCTGGCCCAAGTCAAATGGATCGGATTTCCTGAGGAGAAATATGAATTCCAAAGTTGTCTATATATAAAATTTCTTAATAAAAAAAAGTAACTGAAATCACAGAACTGAGCATTAGGATGAAATGGGGTGGTGAAACCCTTCTATAGTTGAAGTATAATGGTGGTTCTTTCCCAGTAATGGCTGATTAGTGATGATTGCTTATCTTAACTCTTGGTCTGTTTATCCCTCTCCCTCAACTTTGAAAAAACACCTAATGCTACTATTTTTGTTTAATAAATTATTAGCTAAAAGCTATCTGTTGCAAAATGAACACTATAGTGTATACTTCTAAGAGGGAGTTAGAAGGATTGCTGAACTGAATTAGAAAATCTGAGTTTCTACACTTAATAGCTGTGACATTGTGGGCAAGTCACTTAAACTAGAAGACTTTGTTTCAACATTGTGAGTTCCTTGAGGACAGGACTATTTTTTGCCTCCTTTTGTATCCCTAGCACTTTGCACAGTGGCTGGTACTAATAGGCATTTCATAAATGTTTATTAATTGATCAATCAATTGTTAAGTTGTGTCTGACTCTTCGTAACCCCATGGCTCTTCTATGCTCCACTATCTCTCAAAGTCTGTCCAAACTCATGTTTATTGCTTCCAATTATACATCTCATTCTCTGCCATCCTCTTTTCCTTTTGCCTTCAATTGTTCCCAACATCAAGATCTTTTCAAATGAGTCCTTTCTTAAACTCTTTTGTGGCCAAAGTATTTAAGCTTCAGCTTCTGTATTTGACCTCCCAGTGAGTAGACTGAATTAATTTCTTCAAGTATTGACCGATTTGATCTTGATGGCTAAGAGACTCAGAACTCTTCTCCAGCCCCACAATTCAAAGCATCAGTTCTGTGGTGCTCAGCTCTCCTTATAGTCCAACTTTCACAGACCATGCATTGCTACTGAAAAAATGATAGCTTTGACTCTGGGGACCTTTGTCGGCAAGGTGATATCTGTTTATTAGTATGCTGTCCAGATTTGCCATAGCTTTCCTTCCGAGGAGCAAATGTCTCTTAATTTCATGGCTGCAGTTACCATCTGCAGTGATCTTTGAGCCCAAGAATATAAATTCTGACACTGCTTCTGTTTCTTCTATGTCTATTTGCCAGGAAGTGATGGGACCAATTGCCAAGATCTTCGCTTTTTTAATGTTAAGCTTAAAGTCAGCTTTTGTACTCTGCTCTTCCACCCTCATCAAGAGGCTTGTTAATTCACTTTCTGCCATTAGATGGTATCATCTGCATAGCTGAGATTATTAATACTTCTCCTGGTAACCTTAATTCTGGCTTTTGATTCATCCAGCTTGGCATTTAACATGATGTGCTCTGCATATCCGTAAAACAAGGTGACAATACACTACAGCCTTGTATTCCTTTTCCCGTCTTAAGCGATTCAGGTGTTCCATGTTCGCTTCTACCTGTTGCTTCCTGGCCTGCATGTAGGTTACTGGGGAGACAAGATAATCAGGTACTCCCATCTCTTTGAGGAATCGCCACATTTTGTTGTGATCCACACAGTCAGAGACTGTAGTGTAGTCAATGAAGCAGTAGGTGTTTTTCTGGAACTCCCTTTCTTTCTCCAAAATCCAGCAAATGTTGGCAATTTGGTCCCTAGTTCATCTGCCTCTTTGAAAACCAGCCTACTTTTCTGCTAATTCTTGGTTCACATATTGCCAAAGCTCAGCTTGCAGAATCTGAAGCATAACCTTGATTTAACATCTCATAAGTAATGCTTGAGCTGCCTGTTATATGGGGTTGCTGATAAGCGTTGCGGTAAGAAGACTTGACTTTGAATCCCACTTGAGACATAATAGATGTGACCATAGGCAAGTCACTTCACTCCCAGAGCTTCAGTTTTCTCATCTTTGAAATGGGAACAACACTTGGAATTTTGCTTCTGTATTCTCTGCCAAGGATAGTAATCTTTATACTTGAAGGGGCAGAAATGACTACCAGGGAGTGGATTTCTTAGAGCATTGATGTCAAACAGAAGGGGGGGGGGGGTGTGACACTCTGGAGTGCTTCATGGGAGTTTTAACATCTCTGCATTAGAGAGATAGTAAATAGATACCCTTGATGAGTTTTAAGTCAGATGAACTACATCTTGGGGTACTGAAAGAGCAGGCAATTATGATTGTTGTGACACTACTGTTGGCAGTCTTTAAAATATTGTAGCAGTGAATCAGTAAGCATTTATTAAGTGCCTACTCTATGCCAGGTACTGTGTCCAGTGTTGGGGATACAGACTGGGCTAGAGAAGGGCAAATATCCCAAAACGTTTTTGAAAGTATATGTTTTTATGTTACTTTCCCTTCCCCCCATTCTACCCAGAGAACTTTCCCTTGTAACAATAAAAAAGGTAGTTTGGTGAAACGATTAGATTCTGACAATATATCCACCCTCTTTCATAGCTCCCCACCTCTGTGAAGAAGAGTGACTTTTCTCACTTTTTTTGGTGCCAGGCTTGATCATTATAATTGCACAAAGTTCAGTTTTATTTTGTTGTTGCTGTTTTTAGATGTTTTTTATGATGAACTTTAAAGTCATAACAAACATGAATATTACCTTGTAAAGGACAGAAAAAGCATTGCATATGAAAATCTGTAATTTACAGCTTTTTGAAAGTGTACATTAATTTTAGCATGGTAGTGCCAACACTGCGCTATCTGTGTCCCCTTCTGAAATCTGTGTTCTATTGTGTGTATTTTTCTTCATTTCAATACTTTCTTCTTTTTTTTTTTTTGTACCATCACTCTCTGTTGCCCTCACATTACTCTCACCTCCCCCAGTAAAGGTACTCCTTTATAACAATTACAGTCAAGCCAAACAAATTTGCACAGTGTTGGTCATGTCTGAAAATATCTCATTTTGTCCTAACAGTCCATATCACCTCTCTGCCAAAGGTGGGAAGCATGCTTGATTATCAGTCTTCTATAGTAATGATTGGTCTTTGCTTTCATCAGAGTCCTTAAATATTCTCAGTGTTATAGTCATTGCATAAGTTATTCTGGTTCTGGTCATTTTATTCTTTTTTCAGTTCTTTGCTAAAACAAAAAGTGCTGCTACAAAGATATTTGTACTTAGGCTCCTTTTCTTCTTTGATGTCTTTGGAGAGAATAGCCTAGCAAAAGCATAAAATGCCTAATGTACACCAAAGAAAGAGACTGAAGGCTTCAATCTTGAGTCCAGAGGTAAAATTGAACCAATGGATGAAGGCAATATCTTAGTCTCCTCTAGGCTGGTGTAGTAGATAGAATTCTAGGCTTGCAGTCAGGGAGACTTGAGTTCCGATTTGATAGTAGGCACTTAGTAGCTGTATGGCCGAGGGCAAGTCACTTAACCTCTGTCGGCCTGAGTTTCTTCAACTCTAAAATGGGGATAAAAAAATAGCACCCACTTTTCAGGATTGTTGTGATGATCAAATGAGGTAGTATTTGTAAGGTGCTTAGCA